TTCAGTTTCATCGACTCAAACTGAAATTTCCAATGTATGTTGTTAATTCTGGTGGAGCAGGGATTCTAAAGGTAAAAAAGGTTTTCTTTGGGTGGCTTGGAGCAATCTGACTCTATCTAAGGAGCATGGTGGACTAGGATTCCAAGATGTACAACTATTTAACAAAGCTTTCATCTCTAAGCAACTGTGGAGGCTTTTATCTGAACCAAACACTCTTGCTGGCATAATTTGAAGGCAAGGTACTTCCCTCACTGCTCACTGCTCACTTTTTGAAGATCAGAGGGAACCTAGTTCTTCTTGGCTCTAGAATTCTTGGTTGTCTGTCTTAAAGGATTGTGAAAAATGGATGAGAACTGAAATAAGAAATGGGAAAAACACTCTTATATGGGATACTCATTGGATACCTAACAGAGTGGACTGAAAGATCTATTACCTGTCATTGATAGAGGCATAAACAGAGTTTGTGATCTATTGTCAAAAGATGGATACCACTGGGATGAAGCTAAAGTCAGGAGAACTTTTTCAGCAGATTCAAGTGATTTGATCATGACCATTTCCTCTATGAATCCCCAACAAGAAGATAGATGGATTTGGACTCTCCACGAGAAAGGTATTTTTTCTGTCCATTCTATCTACTCTAAGCTTATTACAGAAAATATTTTCTTTTGGACAAGGCACAGGGAAGTTCAGATCTATCTAGAGATATCAAAGTTCGAAACAGAAGTTAAGTTTGAACATCATGGGGAAAATCAAGCATTTCATATGGAAATGCTTCAATGGTTCTCTGTCGGTTAGCTTTAATATTAAACATATAGGATTTGAAGTTGACACCATTTGTAGAGTATGTGGAGAAGACCAAGAAACAGTTGAACATGTTCTTTTCCATTGCATGCAAGCACAACAGACTTGGAGATTAGCTCATGTCAGGTGGGAAGGACCTCATTCTCAGGAATCATTCAAATCATGGTGGTGAAGGTGTGTAATCTAGATAAATCAAATGTTTCTAAAGCCTGCATTCAACTATCGACATATATACTATGGTTTCTTTGCAAATCTCGTAACTTATGGATATTTGAGGGAGTCCGTAGGCCTGCTCACCTTATTATTCAAGGAGCTGTCTGGGACTAGAATGGTTTCTTGGGAAGAAGGGGGACTCAGGCCAACATCAAGACAAATTCTTGAGCAGACATGCTAGGATCTGAGATTAGTGGGCTGTCTTTTTCTGTGTTGGGTTATTCTCTTTCAGGGGTAAAGGCTCGGTGGTTGTTCACTGCTTTACTTCCTACTCCGTTTTGTTTATGTGTTGTGGTTTTAGTTTTTCCTTTATCTAGACCACCTGCGTGTGGATCTCCCATTTATCTGCTTTTAGCTAGATTATTGTTGTATGCTAGGACTCTTGTGGTTCTTGTTGTCTATTTGCTGTAAACTCTTTTTATCTTTAATGAGATTTCTATCGTATTGGGGAAAAAAAACTGAACTTTTATATATATTGAGTGAATTCAATGAGTTCGTATCTTAATATGCGTGTATTAGATTCAATTCTAGTCATTGATTTGTATAGACCAATGAGTTCTATTGATAAATTAAAACACACTTTAATTATATAACAAATAATATTTATATTCAAATTTGTTATGTAATATTGACGGGTATTAACCGTACTCCGGCAGCTGTTAACCTGAATTTCGTGAGCAATTTGGGGAATCCATCTGTCAAATATGGTGAGCAAATCTCAATAATCTGGTCGTCTGTCACTCCATGGCACCCGGCACCGCCACATCTCCCACCTCATCCCAAAGCCTTGCTGGAGAATGTTGGGAATTCGGAGTGGCTATCGCAATTCGTCGACCACGACTCCTCTGCGGGCCTCTCCTCGTTATGACTGGTCGAAATTTTATAGGCCAACGATGGGGTAAACCAGGGCAAAAGAGTCAAACACGTGAATCGTGCTCCTAGATCATCGTCTTGTTTTTGCCCTCTCCAGTCCTGAGAGGACCAAGATCCCGACGAGACCGCGGTGCGACGACCATACTGGTTGTGCTTATTCGAGAAACCGACAGTTCCCGAGGCAGACATGTTCACTAGGGATTTCTGGCGATTACATGAGCTCGTTTACTATCACGCTGGCCACGACGAGCGGATGGAAGAAGGCCTCGTGGGGCTTAGCCTGGGGATTTGAGAATTGGGTTTGTATTTAAGAATTAGACAAATTCTATGGATTTGATTGCAATTTCAAGAAATTATGAGTTATTGGAATTTGTTCATTAGTCAATCTATAATTTATTTATAGTTTGAATTGCTTCACTCTACCCCTGGATTTTATTATTGTTTAAATAGTGCATATTTAGTTTATTTCTTGTGCATATTTAGGTAATACGAAATTCATATTTAATTTCATATACAATGCGTACTTAGTTGAGAATATTTAGTCCAAGGTTTTATACAGAAACCAAACTGATTTTGAGCACAAAAAAATGCTAGTGTTTACTTTTCTCGTCATTTTTGTAATTTTTTCGCTTCTTACCAATTAAATACACACAAAAACCCACAAATCAATTGAAGGGTTAAAAAGCCTAAATTTAAGATATAGAAGTTAGTTTAAATATAAGTAGACTACGATTTTTGTGTTAAACGCAACAAATAAAACAATATATTGCTGAACATGCAAGAAATGAAATTTGTAATACAACTTCAACTAACTTATCTAGTGACGGCGGTACGAGAATAGACTACAGTAACAGTATCATCTTATTTAGAAGAAGTGAGACTGGTAAACAGACAATATTCCGATGAGAAGGTGAATAAGGAGATGTGTAGTGATATTTTTTTCGTCATTTTGAGATTTAGGTAGGTTTGAACCATTATTTCAAATTTTAAACAACTAAACAACTAATCCTTGTTTGAATATTTAAAAAAAAAAAAAATCTTTGTTTTAATTTTTTTACCCTTATCGGTTCGGTATCGGTTTTTTACCGAAGTCTTTATGGGTTCAAACCGATACCGAACCGATAGTGATTCGGTAACCGATAGTCGGTTACCCTTATTGCTGAGAAGGTGAATGAGGAGATGGGTAATGATATTTTTCTCGTCATTTTGAGATTTAGGTAGGGTTGAACCCTTATTTCAAATTTTAAACACTAAACAACTAATCCTTGTTTGAATATTTAAAAAAAAAAATATTTGTTTTAATTTTTTTACCCTTATCGGTTCGGTATCGGTTTTTTACTGAAGTCTTTATGGGTTCAAACCGATACCGAACCGATAGTGATTCGGTAACCGATAATCGGTTACCGTTATAAGCGGTTCGGTACAACTCAGTTTATTTTTTCGTCGGTTCAATTTGGGTTAGTTCGATTTTTAGTTTTCAATTAAAAATTGTCAAACCCTAATCGTGGTATATTGTGCATTTAAATATAAGTATACCGATGGTATACTGTGCATTTAAATATAAGTATACCGATATATCATAGATATTTCCATTGAAAGTATTTGAAGAAGATTATCACGAGAGAAATGGTACACGTACATAATATTACGTAGATGTTGTATAATATTACATAATATTAGGATCAACAATTGGAAACCCAGTTCTCCATCAAGCCCAACATACAAGCCCAAATGAGGTTCCACTCTAAAACCAATTGGCAATAGAGGGAGTAGCCCACTAAGCTTATATATTGAACTTGAACCCATTAATTTTTCGATGTGGGATTGGGTTTGCACACCCAACAAACCTCCCCTCAAACACAAGACCACATTGGGCCTCCCCTTAAACGAAATTCATACGATCCGACCATCTTGTACCGCCGTTATCACCCACGGAACCCGCCGCCTGACTACACTCATTCTCCAGGAAGACTTTCGACACAAGGCACACGGATCAACCGGCCCATCCGGCTCCACGGGGAACATGCCACGTCATCCACATCGTAACTGGGCTACCAACCGTAGCTTTGATACCAATTGTTAGGATCAACAATTGGAAACCCAGTTCTCCATCAAGCCCAACATACAAGCCCAAATGAGATTCCACTCTAAAACCAATTGGCAATAGAGGGAGTAGCCCACTAAGCTTATATATTGAACTTGAACCCATTAATTTTTCGATGTGGGATTGGGTTTGCACACCCAACAGATGTGTACATAACACTCACATTGAGTGAACCTTAAAAAAATGAAAATTAAGTGGACCCCACTTCATGTGAGTATTATGTACACCTATATGTATATTTATCATGTAGTCGTACTATTTTCCTTGTCAAAATCAAACTCAAAAGCAGAAAACAATTGGAACCCAAACGTGTACAACTAGTTATAAGTTGTAAATTGCATCCATTATAACAAGTAACAATGGCTGAGCGACGTTGACGTTGGGACATTAGGACACAAACCCAAAATTTCTGTAAGCACAAATCTATGTATCCCGACTAAAACGCGTTTCTTGCGTGAGCTTTATCCACTTGAATGCTTTTAAAATTACAGAGGCTTCTTGTTGTTCACTTGAAATTGCTCACTAATTTATTTATTTAATTGGACAAAACAGATCACTTCTAATGAAGCTTGGCTCTCATCAAGATCTCGCCTTTTTCTTCCCTGTACGGTAATGGCCGCTTCATATGCTTTGACCCTTCATTTCATACTTTTTTTTTTTTTTTGAAAGATTATGAATAATAGCACAGCTACTTGCAACGATCTTAATCATTTCTGTGTTTTGTTTAGCGGAGGTTAGCTATTCTGACTTTTCTCGAAGTTCGATTTATCGCTTCCTAATCGTTTACCATGTTTCGTTGCTGGCTGTGGTTTTGAATTTTGGGAGTTGTGTTTCCTAATTCATCTTGTCCGAACGAAACATATACTGCCCTCAGTTGAGCTTCTTCAGGATCCGCCAGTTTATAGTTAGCACAATTGACGATTTTATCGCCACTAATAATAGAGTGTATTGTTTCAATTTGATACTCAGGTAAATCTTTTGCACATTTCTGACTGTACCTGAGAGAAAAATGGGGAATACTTGTGTGGGGCCCGGCATCATAAAAAATGGACTCTTCCAATCAGTCTCTGCTGCCATGTGGCGGTCCCCGATCCCCACCCCCAATGCCGGCGAAGAGAGCTCTCACCCGGACAAGCCCGATATCGAGGTGCCCGTTCAGAGTACACCCCCCGAACAACTAACAATGCCGAAGCCCGAACAAGAACCGAAAAATCAAGAACCGGAAGAAAAAGGAGAAATGGAAAAGAAGCCGGAAAAGCCGATGAAGAGGAACACTAGTGCGGGACTCAGAACCGACTCAGTCCTCCAGCGCAAAACCGGGAACCTTAAGGAATTCTTCAGCATTGGTAAGAAACTGGGGCAGGGGCAGTTTGGGACAACATTCATGTGCATGGACCGGTCGACTGGCGTGCAATACGCGTGCAAGTCGATCGCCAAGCGGAAGCTGCTGACGGATGATGATGTGGAGGACGTGAGGCGGGAAGTACAGATCATGTACCATTTATCGGGCCATCCGAACGTGATATCCATAAAGGGGGCATATGAGGATGCTGTGGCTGTGCACGTGGTGATGGAGTTGTGTGCGGGTGGGGAGCTCTTTGACAGGATCATAAAACGGGGCCACTATACAGAGAGAAAGGCGGCCGAGCTGACTAGGACGATAGTTGGGGTGGTAGAGGCATGCCACTCGCTAGGGGTGATGCATCGGGACTTGAAACCCGAGAATTTCTTGTTTGTGGACCATAAGGAGGAGTCGCTACTCAAGACCATTGATTTCGGGCTCTCTGTATTCTTCAAGCCCGGTATGTGGTTTTTCCGAGTATTATGATGTGATGTGCTGGTCTTGAATGGTTTGTGCTAGCCAGCTCAAATGACAAGTGGAATAGGTTTTGCATTTGTTATTATAACTGCAAATTTCGGTTATGTTTGTTAACCATAAAGCTGGATATGGGCCTTGAAACAGACCTCCACTAAAGGGAGAAACAGCAGCACAAAAAATGACATATACCTTATGGTTATAGTTGTGGTAGAAATATAAGTTTCACGAAGCTAGTTCTGTACTAGTCCCAGTAACTTAAAAATTTTGTGCGAGTAACATAACATATAATGAAGGTTGATTAATTGTGAATGTCTGGTTTTGGCTAGATGGTCCGTTCAAGTTCTTTTGACAGATGGAATGTGTTTTTTTTCCATATACTTTTGGGTAGAATCTTGAAAAGAGATAATTACGAATTTAATGGATTACATTTAATTCATATGTATGCGGATGTAGGTTGTTCAACTTTAATCTCATCTAGATTCTTTAAATTAGATGCTGATATTCGGAGAACTTAGGTCTGTTACCCTTACTCCACCATCACTGAGTACATTGGTGGTATTATATTTTCAGGGGACAAATTTAATGATGTGGTGGGAAGTCCGTATTATGTTGCACCTGAAGTTCTTAGAAAGCGTTATGGTCCCGGAGCTGATGTTTGGAGTGCCGGAGTCATTGTCTACATTTTGCTGAGTGGAGTACCCCCATTTTGGGCTGGTGAGATCTGTCGGGTTCTTTATTGTTCTGAATTTGGACATTATATTGTCAAAAGTTGCAGAATATTTGACCAAGCATGAAGTTTTTTTCTAATAACGCTTTATCCTTTGAATGATGTCAGAAAGCGAGCAAGGAATATTTGAGCAAGTCCTGCATGGTGAGCTTGACTTCTCATCAGACCCTTGGCCAAGTATATCGGAAGATGCAAAAGATTTGGTAAGGAAAATGCTCGTGCGGGACCCAAAACGGCGTTTAACTGCCCATGAAGTCCTGTGTAAGTACTTTAATTGGATTGTGTATATAACTAATGTGATTCATATAGGGTAGGATATCTCAATTTCATCAGGAGTATCCATATATCACAATTATAACTTAATGTCTCATTCATCATTACATAAGATATCTTTATTACAACTTTTTTTGGTACATTTATGTTAACAAAAGTTTTGATGATATTAAATTTTATTGAAGTGATTCTATATTGTCCTCATAAGTAATACGATAAAATGAGGGAACGACCATTTTCATGGCTCAATAATAATTTTAACCATGTCTTGAGATATAATGGTTTTCTTAAAACTCGTGAACTTCATGTATTATCTGCTGACTGAAGATGTCAGCTTGCTCTGAGTCCAGCCAAAAGGCTAAGCTTTATAATCACGCTACACATTTTTTATTTTTAATTAACCATTCAAGATTTGTTATTTGTTGGGTCTTGTCCTTTATGGTTAGTTTTGTGTATCTATGGAGATGAAATTGATATAGGTAGTTGAATCTATAGGACAATTGCATGGTGGTGAAGTGAGATGTCTTTTATTAGAATATATTTTGGTTTTCGCTCCTAGTCATTTCTACAAATCTAGACCACTGCCAATGTGTCAACTTAGTTATAATCGATTAGGATAGATACTGAGGACTAGTTAGAAACATTATCTGAATAATTGAAACTAGATTTAAGATAACTGTTGGTATGGCTCATATATTGATAAAGGAAGGAGGCAGGCTGATGTTTGACGGATCGAGCCGGACAGTTTATCACAACCAGGAGAAAGATCAAAATAGAACAAGCTGAACCAAACACTCTAGAATAACATATAGGGGGTTCATGGGTAAAAACAAAATAAAGGGAAACATTTTTATCATGCATAACATGACAATTTATAGCAAGCAATGAGTATTTGTAACTCAGATTCTCGTTTGATTTGAAAAGTTGCTATTGCAATTTATAGAAGTACAGACTTTAATACTAGCCAACTGTCTTATTAACTTACTAGTACAACGCCCGTGTATTACACGGGTGCTTGCTATTTTTTTTTTTTTTAAATTTAAAATTAATGAGAAAAATTAGTTGAAAATTTAAATACTTTTTATAAATATATATTAATATATATTTTAGTATGACAGTTGTTACTTGTCCGATTTACATGTGTTGTATTATAATAATTTTTTTAACTTATAACATATAACTACATTAAACATGAATATATTAATTGAAAATTAATTTATTTTTTAATTAATTGTAATAAATATTTTTTTATTATTATAAAAATAAATTATATTTTATATATACAATATAGATGTTAAATCGAAACTCATCGAAAGATGATTAATTTGATACATTATATATGTAAAACCGATAAGAAATACAAAAGTTAACAACTTTAAAATACATTTACAATTCAATAGTTATAATAGAAAATAATATTCAAATACAATTATACATGATCATAAATAAATCAACATATTTATGGTAATCCGAACCTAATTAGTTTTGGATTGAAATTAAATTAAAATCTATCAAAACCAAATAACAAAACATGGAATATTGACACATAGGATTTCGAAGCATGCGAGTCTGCCACTTAGACTCAGCACATTCGGGAATTATATATAAGGGGATAAGTTGTTATCAACAAAACTTTATTAAGGTACAATTTGTCAATCTGTAGGGAGTATATTGGAATTGTTGCGCTTTGAAGTATCTTCCCCATTGATGATATTCCTTTTGTGATTTTTTGTGTGTGTTTGTGTGTGTGTATGAGAGAGAGAGAGTTGACTGAATTTTAACTGCCATTTTTTGCGCTCATACAAAACTTGAATTTCGACAGGCCACCCGTGGGTTCAAGTTGATGGTGTGGCGCCCGACAGGCCTCTTGACTCTGCAGTTTTAAGTCGCATGAAACATTTTTCTGCAATGAATAGACTCAAGAAAATGGCTCTTAGGGTAAGTCCTTTGTCTCTAGTCTCTGCACATATTATGATTAATTTGCATTCTAGTTGGTTTTAAATTTGATTGGAAGTACCATTTTGCAGGTTATTGCAGAGTCCCTATCTGAAGATGAAATCGCCGGGCTAAAAGAAATGTTTAAGATGATAGATACGGATAACAGTGGTCAAATCACGTTTGAAGAACTCAAGGTTGGACTAAAGAGAGTTGGTGCCAACTTAAAAGAGTCTGAGATTTATGATCTAATGCAAGCGGTAATTATTTGAGTCACAAGATATATCATTCTTTGTAGTTCTCTACTTATTTGAGTTTTTATTTGTGCTTCTTGGTTTGAAAGGCGGACAAGAGGGGAATATGCAGACGGTTACATGTTGGCTTGAATAGAAAGCATATTATGTAAGATTGCATTAGGAATAATTTAGGATTGAAAGCTTTTGATTTGGAGAGAGGATTAAAGTGAAGGATCTCAAATGACTACTCTAAAGATGGACTAGTAATCTGCCAAAATGACTCAGGAATAACTATATTAGGATTTGAACTGTCTTTAAAGCATCTGCAATGCTTTGGGTCTAATTTTACTTACGTGGCATGTAAATAGACCTAAGTCTTGAATGACGTGGAAAAAATAGATAAAAGTAACTAAATTAACTCTAATGTAAAGTGACCAAGTCTCTACTTCGGTCTAATAGACTTAAGGGTAAACCGGGTCTCTTTTTCTTGTTGCTGATGCCACATCAGCAGGACCCAGTCCACTTGAACTTGCATCGGAGTTTATATTTTTCTAGACTATTTCCTACATGGCCTGTATATTTTTTTGAATGGACCCAAAGCATTGTGGATGCTCTAATAACCTTGTACTGCTGTACAACAACCTTAATAGATATGTTATTAGGGATCGAAAATTCTTAATCGAAAATCCATCTATGGCAACAGAGCCTAGTTATTACTCCCTCAGTCCCAATACAATTGGCCCTTTCGTTCGGCACATTGGTTAAGAGAAGTTCATTAGTGACACTGGAAAACATAAAAAGGAAAAGTACATTTCCCTTTATACCCGTCATTAGTGACTTATTAAATTGGTTTTAAAAGATGAGGGTACGATAGGATATGTATATTAACTATATATACTCATAACTTAGTAAGTGGCCTAAATTTTACCACAAATGTAAAAGGAAAGTGAACCTACTGTTTTTGGGACAAGGAGGATTAGTATAAGGCAGACTTAGCATGCACTTTCTTAGTGCTTTTTTCAAGGACTACTGTTTGAACCACAACACGACGAAGCTGAAAAAAGGATAGCAGACTTCACAATTTGTTCTTCTTTCGATCAATCTTATGTTATTCGAAAATTCATGTTTCGTACATCTCAGCACCCGTTTTTATGCAAAAACGATATTCTGAAATCAATTGTCTACTGGGAAATATAGGCTGACGTCGATAACAGTGGAACAATTGATTATGGAGAGTTTATAGCCGCAACATTGCATCTCAACAAGATCGAGAGAGAAGATCACCTTTTTGCTGCTTTTTCGTACTTCGATAAAGATGGGAGTGGTTACATCACCCCAGATGAGCTTCAACAAGCTTGTCAAGAGTTTGGTTTTGACGATTCTCGCCTTGAAGAGATGATCCGAGAAGTTGACCAGGACAATGTGAGTTCTTGGTTTTGCTAGAAATTGATGCTATGCTATATATTTTGTTGTTTTCAACCTAAAATTTACAGTTGCATAGGAGATATTATTTGAATAAAGAAATAAAAGGATAAGAAAAAAAAACCGATTAACATGCTAATTGTTTTTTTTCCATAAACTCCAATATTCACCCACTCGCATAATTCTGATTACCAATTGTATCCAATCTTTATATATCAAATCGCACCCTAACCGAGTTATGTCCAATTCCGGGTCATCTTATTTCATGATTAAATTTATGACACAATCTCTTTCAACTTGTTTTACAGGATGGACGTATTGATTATAACGAGTTTGTTACTATGATGCAAAAGGGGAACCCATTATCTGGTGCTGGTAAAAGAGGATTGGAGAATAGCTTCAGCTTAAATTTTCGGGAGGCGTTGAAACTGACATAAGGCCTCCTGCAATGATTCTTTCATTTCCGGTCATTCTTTTCTTTCCATTTTTGCCCTTCATTGGGAGAATCTATGCTGTTGAGAGTTTGTTGAGTAAAGAAAGCTGGGGCATCGTTCCGCATGGAGAACGTTGAAGATATTGGAAATGTTGCTCCATCCTCATTACTGTTTCGATCTGTCCTTCTATTTCTTTCTTTTTTAATTTTTTTTGTTGCATAAGTTATCTTGTATACAGTATACTGCATGAAGACACTAGAATACCTTGTCTTTTCTTCTTCTTCTTCTTCTTCTTCTTCTTCTTTTTTTTTTTTTTTTTTTT